TGGATAAAAAAAAAAATGTAAAGGGACTATGTTTACAATTATTAAATTTACATGGCTCATAATCTGTAATCATGTTCTATGTTGACAATCCAATGACAAAGACAGTTTTTTTTCCTTTTTTTAACTCATTTTTAACAGTATATAAAAAACCTCTACACACATTTTATTTTCTCTATATCCAAAGTTACCTGGATAGCCTTTCTTCTTCTTCTTCTTCTGCTTCTGCTGCTGCTTCTTCTTCTTCTTCTTCTTCTTCTTCTTCTTCTTCTTCTTCTTCTTCTTCTTCTTCTTCTTCTTCTTCTTCTTCTTCTTCTTCTTCTTCTTCTTCTTCTTCTTCTTCTTCTTCTTCTTCTTCTACGTCAATATGATAATTATGACAGAAACTGTTAATGATGGTAAAAAAGGAGTGATAATGTATTGTCATCATCAACATTTCCATTCTCTCACTTCCTAAAAGGGAAAAAGAATGAGTCGTCCAGCTTTTCCTGTTAAAAATACCATTTTTTGTAATATTGAGCAAAAAAGCAGAGCAGCTGAACATTATTACTTTATGCATGGGAATTTAAAAGGACTTTTTGGATTGCTGTTATGTTCAAAGCCTATTTTTGTTTTCTATTATTTTGAAAAGTTAGGTCTTTTGCAGTTTTACAGTTGTGATTATAAACTTGACTTTCTTAAGTCGTATGGGATCAGGTTTAATTTAAGTTTATGTTTTTCATGTCATACAAGACAATGAATTGAGTAGCCAGGAATCAGTGGCTGTGCATTGTGGATTAAATATGCTTTGTGTTTAATGTAAACCAACTCTTGAAGATCTTCAGTTATGAAATAAAGGGCATTTTATTTCTGTTATGTTTTGATGTAGTGTTCATATCCAAAGAACAAAAGAATAATCAGTAAGTAAGTAAGGTAAGTATTTTTTTATCTTGATATTCAGTGACAGATAAAAAAAAATCATGACTCTCTAAGAACCATGAACTTTATATGTACATTTATTTGTATTTCAGTTATCTAAAAGACTAAGTCTTTTACTGTTGGTTCTTGCTTTCCTTTGTTCCTTATTTTGTTGCTGTTAGTCATTGTGTTATGGATTAAAATAAGATATTGTAAACAGCTCAAACTTTAGTCTGCTGTGATTTCTTCTGAAACAGAATTGTATTGGACTATATTTTATCTAATAAATTTTTATCCAAGTTCTTTATTTTCAAGTTTACCCCTCTTACTGAAAAGACTCGAATGTTTCATTTAACTGAATGATGTTACACAGTATACTATAGAAAGTTAATAAAAAATATTACAAATTAGGGAAGAAGTCAATTTCACTGAATATGAGAAAAAGAAAACCCAGGTCATATGTTGCTTCAAAGGCATAAATAAGTCTTTTTTATGTATTGTTTGCTCCTATAACAAGTATTTAGAATGTACTGAGTAGAGCATATACCCCTAGTATTTACAGTGTGATGCCTCGATGGTAGCCGTAATCCCTGCTATCTCCTTTCCCCTTTAAGAAAGGGATGGTACTCCCTTGAACAGAGTAGGGGGAATGTTACCTGAATGCTAGATGGTAGCCTGGTCAAATTACAATCAGTGAGCTGTAGGTTTGTCACCGGACTTCAGAAGTTCAACAGGGACATGCAAAATCTTGGACAGTTTTCTTAAGGTTCAATAAGTGGGAGGTTATTTAGTATAAAATGTAGTTTAATCTCCAAAGCAGGATCCCTGATAAACTGTTTCTTTTCCCTGCTCTGCAGTGTCCTGGTCATTGATGCTTTTTCCAATCATGTGTAAATACTTAAAGGCAATATAATGAAGTGCAAACAGAAACTATGATTGAATGATATAGTATGGAATTCATTGTAAACTTTGGAGACAAACCCAAAAGTATCTATTTTTCAGTCAGTTTAAATCATATACAGTTTACAAGGAGAAGAAATATCTCTTAAATCCTTTTAATTAGCAATACCCTGTGATTAATATTCATTTCTATGCTTTCCAATTCACCAACATGCAAATCAAGGCCTAAGGTACTCTAAAGAAGTGATAACATCTTGATATCATGATATCTGCACTTGACCAAGGTATCACTTGGAGAATCTTCAAAATTAGTGTCACTACTGAAACGCTAATGGAACAATATAATTATCAAGTCTTTGGAATAGACCAGATCTATTATGGAAGGTTAAGATTACATTTTCTTATACAATAGAAGTTATTGAGTACATTTACACAAAGAACCAGAAGTAACCAAATGAAAAATACCAATGCCAAATGCAGCAGTGTAGCTAGCCATATTTGGGACTGAGGGGGTAAAGTCTTATGAGGGGCCTTCAATATTCTTTAGGTTTGATGAAAAAACTACATGTAAGATAAAATACAGGTGCTTATTTACTTGTCTAAACTTGTACAACTGTTTCCCCTATAAAACATGAAATTAAATTAGCAGGCGTTGCTTTGGGTCCCCCTCCATCGGGGATGGTGAAAAATTCCACACCCTTGTTACGTTTTACTGGCCAATGTATCATATCCATTGTATTTGGGAAAATGAAAACTACAAAAAATGGACTAAAAATATATCTGTAATATGTTTGTAATTCAGCCAAAATGCAATGTGTTTATAACAAAGTAATACAAAGTCTACATAAGTCATATGGACTTTGCTATAATAATTGGTATTGGGCAATGGCAGAATGATAAAAAGCAAGCGTTTCACAGGCAGCAGGCACTCAAATAAGAACAACTTTACCAAGTAAGAATTACACTTTAAAATGTATGCAGAGATCTCAGTGTCCTCAACGGGACCGGTAAACTCAAAATTATTATTATCATTATAAATCATCTGCAGGTCAACAGCTAAGGTCATTACCGCCGAAAGCCAACTCAGAAGGATAGTGTATCAATGTAATTGTCGATGATGTCCCAAGGGAAATCGGAATTAACGCAATTGCAGAATGAGTGGGTGTATCTGTACTTGCATAGGTCTGTTATGCAATGAATTATATATTATTGAATTATACTTCGGAGACCACATCACCGTGCGATATCATTGTGAGAAGAAAGAGTTATGAACTGTATAATCGGACACCACCAAGTGGTATTGTGAGGGGAAAAAAGGATATGAAATATATATTGCAGATCACACCACCGTCTGACACAGTGTAAGGAAAGAAAACTATAAATAGAGGACATCAAGTAATGAGACACTGACATGAGGGGGAACTTGAGCGAGGTGTTTAGGTTGCACTTCGGGTTTATTAGTCTACGTTGTGTAAGGACTTTAATTACCACAACTGATAAGAGGTTTACAGACCAAATAAAACAAACCCAAGGCAAAAGGTCTGACTTAATATGTTAACTAAAGTACTTTTTAACGTTATCGATTCCGGACATGATGGCTATACATAAATGCCACAGTGATTATATGTATCCACAGGGCAGCAGGAGAGATTATTGAAAAAAAGTTAAATTATTAGAAAAAAAAATGTAAGGTTGTTGAAACGAGAAAACGCTGTTGAAAAAAGAGATAAGTGAAATCGTTAGAAGACGAAAAAAATACGAGTGTGTTGAAATTAGGAAACGTTATTGAAAAGGGAGAAAAGTGAAATCATTAGAAGACAAAAAAAAAAAACGAGATTGTTGAAACTAGAAAATGCCAATTCAGAGCGACTTCTCCCCCCGTTCGTTGCGGGAGATAAGAACATATGAAGACATCAGCAGCTTGTCGTTACAGATACTCCAATCTCTACCACTTCCACGATGCCTACCGCTCCTCCTCCTCCTCCTCACTTTACCTGTCGCACCAGGCAATCTAAACGTTCCACCCCATCTCCTATCACTTCCTCTCATACATCCACCTCCTCCTCTCCTCCTCGGACATCCCTTTTCCTCGTCACAAGAAAACTTTTGTTTCTCAGACCACCCCACCCAACTCCCTTCCAGAAGCTCTTGAAGACATCCCAAACTTCCTAAACATGACCCAAGAGAACTCTCCGTTCCCTCGTCCACCCTCCAATCTCTCTATTTTTATTTATTCTACGTTCAAATTATTTACAGATATCCATCCTCCTCCTCCTCAAGTTCCCCCCCTAAAATTCTTCCTCCCACTCTCTCTCGACACACTCCCATCCTCTCCTTCTCCATCTGCACCATTCCCTCTTCTTTCCCCATTATCTTTATCGTTTCCACTTGGATGGTCACGTGACTCCTTTATGTCGCAGTAGTGTTCTTCTCCGGATTACCCCCCCCCCCCCCCCCGACATTCATTCTGATACTTCAGTACCTTCCTTTGTTCCCTTATCTAATTCCCCGGATTCATTGCCTCCTATTTCTCTGATAGCCGTCTCTACCCGTATAAACGTTAGTTTTTGATAATGGTTTCTTTGTCAGTTTTCCATACACTTTCACTATATTTCAACTTCCTTCCTCAGACACAGATACTCTCCATTTCACCCAATCGCTCTACATCCTTTAAACTTTACTCTTTTACAAATCTCCACCATACTTCACCCCCACCCCCTTTACCCTATACACGTACTACACTATCCTATAATGCTCTAAAACCTTTGACTTCTAACACAGTTTATCCTAATCGTTAACTTATTTTTATCCATTTCGCAATAATACATTACTATAGTGCTATATAACCTTTGATGTTTAACACATTTATTTGTTTTAACTATTAATCATTCACCTCGTTACTGTAGCACCACATATCCTAAAAGGCAGACATTTGTATCTTGATAAAGGAAGAGAAGTCAGGAAGCGTAATGAAGTGTGATACTGCCGGAAAGTCCGTTGCAATAAACTATTACAGAGCATCACTGGATAAAACCAGATAAAGCTGCTTGTTGCAAATAGAACAACGAAGGGAAGACCAAGAAAACACACGAATCTGGCGAAGGTCTTTTCACTATATTGCTTCTTCAGGACAATAAAGCGAAAAGGCCTTCGGCATATTCGTGGTTTCCTGTTCTACCCTTCGTTGTTCTATTTGCAATTTGTTCGACATGGATTCTACACAACGCTACATCCAGAGAATCCAGCCAAGACAATGTCTTCTCATTGCCTATTCTAATTTTCATTTTCGGGGACTTATCTGACTATGCAACATTTCCTGGACATGAAGTGCATTCAGATATATATATATATATATATATATATATATATATATATATATATATATATATATATATATATATAGAGAGAGAGAGAGAGAGAGAGAGAGAAAGAAAAAGAGAGAGAAGGAGAGAGAGAACCCCCACTGAGAGCGGCCGCTCGTATTCTATCGTGTGGGATACCAAAAGGCTCCGGTCCGCAAGAAATCGGCTACATGGCAAAATTTTACACCAGCAGTGCCGGTCGATTCACAATTACAGTTTTTCTCTCAGACTGGTTTTCAATTGCTGTAGATGTGACTGGATTTTTTTTCTTTTTTTCTTTTTACAGGCTGATCACTCGAGAACAAAGATTTTGTCATCCAAATCCCCTGACCGATTGGAAGTCTGAGATAGGTGTGTGACTGTGGCTTTAGGTTCAAAGTGCCATCAGCCGAAGTCATTTGGGCTGATATCTCCAATTACTTGGTGTAGCCGCTGTTATCAACATCGGCATGGCGTACCCGCTGGCATCAGCATCACGTGTATAACATCTGTAGCCACTGCCATCAGCATCGGCATGGCGTAGCTGCTGGCTTCAGCATCACGCGTACATCATCCCCTCTAGGACTTGGTTGACGGTTTCTTCATGGGTTGCGATAAGGATAATGCCATGGCCGTGTTCCTCCATGTGTTTGTATGTGCTGAATTAGGCCTTGTCCCTAGTGTTGACGTATAAATGAAGGAAGGGCGTCTCACGAAAGGGGGGCCATCACAGGTTATAGAACAGTTTGAGAGTGAATACTGGCTCGACAACACGTACATAAGGACCGATCTGTGGACTTCTGTTAAAGGCCTTGACTGTTCCCGCTATGCGTATGTATCATACACATTCATGTATAGATATACATTAGTGTCAGTGTATGTTGTTGCTTACCTAAAACAGTAGGGTATAATGACATTCTCAGCAAACAGTAAAATGCATGTATGTATTATAACTACTGATATGATCTTGTTAGTGATTCTAAGTCGAATTGTAACAGCAATTATAATTATTATTGCATGATTGATATTGTATTGATTATGTATTGATTGCAGGTTTGACCGCATTCAAATAAATTGAGAAGCGAGTACGACGCAGTGGTATCAGTCACCTCGAGTTAACGCAAATAATCTAAGCGCGTGAAATGGCGCTTACACTTGGTAATCGTTACACACTGTTCCGCATCGTTACAATAGCGAGATGGACGGTGAGGGTTATGATTGAAGCCTGGAGATGCATGAAAATAAAAAATAATCTATCTACCTAGTTACTTTTAGCTCTCCGCTCCCACAACCGCTATCAGTATATTGTCTATCCTACGTTCCTAGGTGGCAGGATGAATCTACTCTACGTCACAGATCTCCGTTTACCTGAAAGCCGAGGAACATCACAGACTGCTTGAAATTGACTGAAAGAGTACAATTATTGATTATTTTTCTAATAACCGATACTTTCAGAACGATCACTGGGATGTATAGAATAAATTATTAAGTTCTTATCTTGTTTTAGTAAATGCTGACAGTTTTTTACAACTGATTTCAACATCAGATAACACGACAGAGCATAATATAAATATATTCAACATACGATTACCAGACTTGTATATAGCATAGTAAAATAAAACTATCGAGAAAAAGGGTACAATGATCCTTCACACGAACTCTTTCTAAACCCATAAAATTACAAGCATAGAAAGGAGTCGAATCAGTAATCGATTGCTATTCGAATACCCATGAAAAATAATCAAACCACAATTATTTTTTATGAAAGACCCACTCTAACTGTCTCAATAAGTAGTGTGATATTTTTTTTTAATGTAGCCAGTACAGTCGAAGTCGCCAGTCATACAGCTGATCGTATGAAGTTCCTCCATCATGTAGTATGTTGACGCAATGGCCGATGACTCAACGACCAACAACACAATGTCGCAATCATGGAAAGGAATGGAGCGAAAATCCCCTGGCCAAACGAAGGAATGTTAATAACACTCATTTTTTTTTATCTGTATCTATATTCCCTTTTGCATGATAGAATGTCATCAGAATGACTGATGTATGACTACGAACCCTTCCACTACTACTACTAGCACGCACACACACACACACACACACACACACACACACACACACACACACACACACACACACACACACACACATACACACACACACACACACACCACACGCAAACACACATACGTATGTATATGTATTTATACATACATATACATACACACAAACCACAACCACACATACTCATATGTGTATGTGTGTGTGTGTGTGCGTGTGTGTATGTATACACACATACATATATATAGATATGTACACACACAAACACACACACACACAAACAAACAAACACACATAGTGATTTACTAAGGCAAAAACAAGCAAAGGCAGGAAGGCTAACTCTCACTGAATCTCACTCACTAAACATTCGCATGTAAACAAATGAATTTAAAACTAAAGCGCACAGTCATCAACAATAAATAAGGCAAGTAATATTTACAGATACCATTAAAATGTAATAAAAATCAATGAATCTGTCAAGGGCATTTTGTTATGTCAGATTATTTTACACACACATAAATAAATAGATAAATGAATATATATACATATATGTTTGTATTTCTATATATTTTTGCGGGCGTGCATATGTGTGTGTGTGTGTGTGTGTGTGTGTGTGTGTGTGTGTGAGGATGTGTGTGTGTGTGTTTGTGCGTGGGCGTGTACGTGCGTGCATATCTATATCTATTAATTTATCTATATCTATCTTTATATACTACATATATATTTATGTATGTATATGTATATATACATATATACATACATATATATGTGTATGTCTATGTATATATACTATACATATACACTCACACACACGCGCCCGCGCGAGCGCGCACGCATATATATATATATATATATATATATATATATATATATATATATATATATGTGTGTGTGTGTGTGTGTGTGTGTGTGTGTGTGTATTGTGTATATATACACATAAATGTATGTTTGTATTTCTATATATTTGTGCATGCGTGTATGTGTATATATGTGTATGTGCGCGCGCGCGCGTGCGTGCATATCTATATCTATCAATCAATTTATCTATATCTATCTATTATTTATTACATATATATTTATGTATGTATGTATATGTATATGATTATATATACAAACATATATGTATATGTATCTGAGTGTATATATACATATATATATATATATATATATATATATATATATATATATATATATATATATATATGTGTGTGTGTGTGTGTGTGTGTGTGTGTGTGTGTATGTGTGTGTGTGTGTGTTTATATATACATATATGAGCAAATAACATATTTTTCTCTATGTGCGTCATCCTGGTTGCGGCATTCGATGCCTAACTTCATTTTAAGATCTCTTCTGTATTATGATAATGTATGATATCGCCAATTGCCGTCATTTGTGGAATCCTTTCGCGCCCAGAACACTAACGAGCAAAATCATCCAGCGTGAAACTCCGCTGGTCGCCAAATCTTCAGACTTTTGGAGTCACCTGATTGTCAGATGTCGGAAACTGACTTGGGTAAAACGACATATACGAAAAGAAAATATTTTAGTTAGCATCAGCATCAAACTCTTTCAAATCTAATACAAATAATGTATTTGAACGTTATATATGAGCAATGGGACAAAGAATGGGTTAGATGCTATGTATATAATTTTAAAAAGACGTGATTCATCTTTTCCCGAAAATGTTGGAACTTGTTGACATTGAAAATGGAGGCAGTCCCGCGACTGCCTATGTTAAGCTTCGAGCTTAAACAAAGTGCAGAAAACGCAGAATTTGGACCTAAATTGAAGCAGGTGAGAGATCATACAGTTGTAATGAAGTAGTGTACATTTTGTGGGGATTAGTGGTTCGTGTTATTACATAGTTACTCCTTTTTTGGTTGTGCACTTTGCGGTGGGCTGGCCCGCTGCGGGAAAAGGAAGGAATTATTAACACGTACGTTACGTGAATACCCAAAGGATACGGTTTCTTGGTCTTGATATGGAAAGTGTGCTAGTATATTAGAACAAGGGAGTTTCGTTAGATTTTCGACCAGTAGGACTTTTCACTGACGGAGATTCTAGTAATTTCGGCCTCCGTAATCTTGCTCTAGGTATTGTGTACTTTTCTCTAGAATTGAATCTTACAAGTACGTCTTTAGAATTAAGGTCATTTGGGGTCTAGGCAATTTTCTTGCGTAGAAGGTATGATTAATGATAATGACAACCATGGAATAATTATTGACCTAATTGATGTCCATTGCAATAAGACCTAAGTTTTAACTTGAAGCCCATGATCATAGCTATCATTGTTATCATGGTTTACTAGTGAATGTTTTGATATATTCAGTGTATTCTTGGTGTGACTCAGATTTCTGAGATTTTAACCCTTTACTGGGTAAGTGTTTGATACTTAATGATATGTACAGAATACACCCATGCATCTCTCCTGCACTTGTTAGCATTCATGCACCTATTAGCTGCACCCTTTTATCTCTGGGCATTCTGACAAAGGCCAAAAAATCTTCACAGCACCTATTCATCATTTTAGACCTTCCTGATAATCTGTCAAGATAAGAAAGCAGTCCAAAGTTGCCAAAAGAGTTTTTTGGCTTCTGCTGAAGTGTAAAGCAGAGAGTATGTGACAGTCATTTAACAATTTGAATGCAGCCTAAGATTACATAGCTATTTCCCTATATGCAACTTGTATATGAAAAAATATGATAGTTGTTGTTGCTTTTTTAATTGGGAATAATGGTAAAGATTTCATATTTGACTGCAAGTAGGCAATTTTGTAAAACAACAACAACAACAACAACAACAACAACAACAACAACAACAACAACAACAACAACAACAACAACAACAACAACAACAACAACAACAACAACAACAACAACAACAACAACAACAACAACTACAACTACAACTACAACTACAATAACTATAGTTACTTTCAATTTACTTAAACATTTTCCAGAAGAATGATGATGACAGAAAACCAATTTAACTCAACAAGAATGTGATATATTATTGTGTAAGTAGATATGTTGTGAACTCATATCCGTCAGGCATAACACTTTTCATGTTTCCATCTTAGGTAGAACAAAGAAAATAAGATGCGCATTCCGTATTATTTCAGTTTGATAAAGTAAGCATTGTTCATTTGAACAACCAATTACATTTTATGAGTATATAAATTTTGGGGGGATATATCTTCTTTGTGTGTTACACCTCAAAACATGGCATTATACAAAAGGGAAGGACTTAGATTAAAACACGTCTTGGGCAAAACAGAGGGCATATAGACCCATTGCCTGGGAAGACAGAAAAGGCCATGAACTATAGTTCTCTAAAGTGTTATGAATAAGGGTTAAGAATGTATTTGTGGTTCGATACCTAATGCGATCAGAGGTTAGAAATTTACCATGATCTTGTTGGACATCAGATAGAAAGAGGAAAATGTCAAGAGAGACCCAAATACATTAATTTCCTTATCCATATATATAGACAGATTATTAAGAAAAAAAAGTGTATCACCTGGTGTCTGTGTACTGTTAATTTTCACAGAACATTGTTTATGATGTCACATGTCTAATAGAAGCAGAAAAGAATAAGAGAACAAGGTGGCTTTCATAGTCTATAAAGTATCATATTCATTTTATTAACTCATAAGCAGAACATCTTGGTGTGCACTACCTTTTAACGGTGCCATTCTGATGGTCATAGTATTATTGCAAATTCATAAAATCAAAACCTTGTGAAGTACATATTTACCTTGCTTTGTGTGTGTTTGGCTACACATACATGATTTTCTAGCATTTGAGATAAAACAAGGCTTTGACCCCCCTTTGCACTGGCTCACCGAGCTTTGGCACACTCCACAATTCGAGTGGTTTGTTTTCACGCCTATCGGCGTCATCCATTGTGAAGGGTTTAAGGGTATTTGACACCTGAAATAAAGTCTTAGAATGGTAATTTGAATGAGAACAGTTTCATAATGTATTTCAGGATGTGTATGTTGAAAAGTCATTACCAATCTTTTGTAGAATTACCCACTTCCTTTCATAATTTATATATTTGTTACATGAATTTGATTTATGATGGCTGCCAGATCATCAGAAATTATATTTCTTTTCATGGTTTCTTTCCCCAGTACATTCGTGATCATTATCATGAAGACCCAGACAGTTATAGTGCCGAGATCCATGAGCTGGAGGGCCTGCGAGCCAGTGCCATCCATGCTTCAAGGGACTTCACAGGGTGCTCCACCCTCAAGAAATACTACTGCCAGCTGCACTATCTTCTCTCCAGATTCCCACTTAATGAGAACTCGAGCATTGCTGTAACATTTAATTGGTGAGTTTGTTTGATTGTTTTGTACTAGAATTTGCACATTTCTTCATTTTATTATTCTATGAAATGTAGAATTACTTAGTGACTGACAATAAACTTTATTCAGGAGCAAGAAGTAGACTAGTCACATATGGGCCTTACTTGAGAAATACTCCTGTCTGGCAACCACAACCCTGACTAACTTTAGAGCAAGTAATTAATTCAGCAAATGTTTGGTTATATTCAAGGAAGTTATTTAATAGTTATTCCATTTGATATTTATTGAATCTTTTTCTACTGCATTAGGTAAGAGTAGATTATATGTGTGTTTGAAGATGAATAAATACATTAATGATGGAATGAATGCTATACTTGAATAGTTAGTGAATCAAGTAGGTTATGATAATCTTTTCAATTATTTTGGATACACAGATCTTGCATTGAAAGTTTGGTTCAGTATTCAGTAATGTCATATATACAAATCTCTTGTAACTGTATAAGTGTGCTAACTCATAAGGTAAAAACAATGAAATCATTATATTTATAAAGTTTAAAAAGCATGTAGCAACTCCTCCTATGTAGATTTTTTAATTGACTTGCACACTAAAATGAGGAAAAATTTTACCCTGTGTTTTGTTTTGTCGCAGTAGACATTGAGGTCATGGAGAAGACCCAGAAGTGCATCATGGGAAAAGGAACGCTTTATTCTGCAGCCCCAGCTTTTCGTTTTCCTTTTTTCTTTTTTCCTTTTTCTGTTTTTTTGATTACTGTTTTTGCATATATGCTAAAAATATTTTCATGGCATTATGAATCAAGGCAGTATTATGATGGTGTTATTCTTAATGGTGATTATGTTATTATTAATACATTTACTTTTGATTATGATGACAATGAAGATATATAGAAAAAGGTGCCAAATAGTAGTAGGAATGATAATATTGGGGATAAAAGTAGTATTTGTATCATTGGCAAAATTGATTATAGTAGTTGTAATTATTGCCTAGTGTGATGTTGAGAGGAAGTATAAGAAATGATGATAGTCAGTGCATCTATTATATGGGACAGTGATATTGATAGTTGTTGATAATTATACATTTATTATTTACCTCCTTTATTTATACCATTGACTTCACTGGTGATGAAAGGGCTAGATTTTGAAACATTTTCAAATGGAAATATTGGTTTGAATTAAGATCTGTAACTTTGTTTTCTTCCTCTAAAAGTTTAAAATCTTGTTTTGTTTCTGCAGGTATGACATTTATTCTAGCATGGTGTATAATGTCACAGACATTAAGTATGAAATGGCCTGCATCCTTTATAATATTGGGGCTCTGCATACTGAACTAGGGGCCATGGATGCCAGAAATACACCAGATGGGATGAAGATAAGTTGTACACATTTCCAGTGCGCAGCTTGGGCATTTCAGGTAATTTATTAAATTGTTATTCATTGTCTAGTTGTTTTAGTAGAAGGTAGAATTGTTTAATCATGATGGTCTTCATTATTATTACAGCTAAAGTTTCAGTTGGACATAGTAGATTACCTGTATCTGTAATTAATAATTTTGTATGGCACTTCACAGCATCTGCGAGACACGTATCCGCAACCACGGGAGTCAGACCTAAGTCCAACGTTGTTGACCTTTTTGTACAATGTTTCACTAGCTCAAGCTCAGGAATGTATTCTTGAAAAGAGCATGACAGACAACCGCAAGCCAACAATTATTGGTAAGAATTATTTTGTAGTATCCTACCTTTTGTCAGTATAGATATATCTGATGATTTTGATTTGTTTGTGCATAAGCAGTGGAATTAAGATCCTCTGAATACATTCTTCTGTTTAAGTTTCAAGTACATTAGAAGTACAACTTTTTAAAGCTATATGTATTGTTAGTATAGTTAATTAGATTTGAGATTTTATAATGAATAAAACATTACTTTTATCAACAGCAAAAGTTGCAATGCAAGTTGTGGAATACCTGAAAACTGCAATGAACAACCTTGGTTCCTCAAAGTCTCCAGATTCAACAGTGACAGAAATAGCAGGATCTCGAAAGATAAAGGTTTGAGCGTTTAGTACTCTATAATATTAGTTATAAATCACAGTGGTATACATTTTTTCCAGTTATGAGAATGTTTCTTATTGCTGTTGTGTTCTTTGTTAAATATATGAAATTTACAAATTTTCACATTAATGTTTTTTGAAGTAAACATTGCTAAGTGAATGATAATGAGATGTTATTTCTAGTAAAGCTGAAAAAATCAGTTATATCCTTTTGTAAGGTATATTTATAAATGTTCCTCTGTTAAAGATGTGTGTTTTACCTGAACAGATGTGGAGAAGATACTGTGAATTTAAGATGGCATACCATGGAGCAGTTGCCCTTCTATACCAAGGAATGCAAGCTGAGGAACAACAGAAAATGGGAGAGAGGGTTGCCTACTACCAAGCAGCAGTTGACATGCTGAAGGAGGCCTCCAAACTGGCCAAGAACTTAGATCAGCAGGAGGTTAGTTTGGAGTTCAGTGTCTTTGATTTAACTAATAAGACTTTTTTTCTACCTCAATCCCTTGGTTTATATTCATATGTTTCATTCCTGATTGTATATACCTTGGAAGGAGTTGGTGTACAAAATTAAACTTGAAGATTGTTTCAAAAAAAAAAGAAAAAAAAGAAAAAAAGTATGCATGCTTGTGTGTGTATGTGTGTGTGTGTAGAGAAGCATCATCCATTGGTAATGAAAGATTTTTTTTCTGTGTACTTTCACCATATCAAGGACGAGATGGACAGGCTCAATAAAGCCGCTCAGAGCATGTGTGAGGAGGATGCCTATGAGGTTTGACAGTCAGTTGTAAATTTCTTTTAAAAGCTTTATTTGACACTGGATAATTATTGCTTGTACTTATGTATTTCCAAGATGGCAGGTTGCATTATGGTATATGTATATGTATATATGTACATGTGTATATATATATATATATATATATATATATATATATATATATATATATATATATATATATATATATATATATATATATATATATATATATAAATATTATATTATTACTTATTTGATATACATACATTTTTAATGAGGTGACATGCTAGTTTGCTAAAGGTACGGGGACTTGTAATACAAGTTGGTGATTAGTGAGTATGGGATAACAATAAACTACTGTATATACAGATTAGCTATTTCTTGTTACTTAATAAGTGGTTTAGAATAAAGCTTTATGTAATAAAACAGATTGTCTTCTGTCTTGTTGAAATCAAGATGTCTGAGTTGGACTTAATAATATTCTGTGATATTGTTCTTCTAGAATGGCCACATTTGGATGTAATTAATTTCCCTTAAACTTTTGAAACTTTTTAGCATGGTTCTGGAAACTTTTTTTGTGCTCTGTTTCCTCTGAATTTCCTACCTAGTAAGCTGATAATCAGAACCAATATTTTCCATATTTTGATTTTGTTGTAAAAAGATTGATTTCACATATTCTTCAATCATATTGCTACTATGAATGGTAGGAACTTTAAAGGATGGGTGCCCTTGGATATTACTTCAGGTAGGGCCTATTTATAAAAGTTAGCCTAGAGGTTTTTTGAGTAACTCTGCCTCTGCCTCCAAGTCAGCTAGTCGGTAATATACTTTCCTCTTTGATGAAATTAAGGAAATAAGTCTCTTTTAGATTAACAGCTTGACTTTGTGAATATAATAAATTTGGCAATTTGTGATTCCTTAGTTTGGTATAGAATTGGTTTTGTATTTTCTATTTTGGAAGGCTGATGCTTAACCTATTTGGAAAGATTATTCAGTATTATGCTAATAATGACTGTAAAAAGATTTTAACTCACACTCTCCATGTCCCTTTTTTTCCACCTAACCAGCTTATAGGAGAAAGTCTTACCTTCTCCCATGATGTGATGGGAGGAAAGCTAACTGCAGCCCAGAAGGAGAATGAATTTGTGTACCATGAAAAGGTTCCTGCTGCCACAACGCTGCCTGAAGTCAAGGGTGCATCGCTAGTCAAGGGAATCCCTTTTAGTGTGACAGACCCTGAAGTTGCTGGCCAAGACATCTTCATCAAGCTTGTGCCCATGGAAGCTCATCAGGCTTCTTCTATGTACAGGTACATACTTTTGGAAGATAACTTGATGTGGAGTAATATACTAATGTGTACTTTGAAATCAAAGTTGTTATCTTTAGTTTTTTTCATTGATGATTTTTTTTTTTTTTTTTTTTTTTTTTTTTTTTTTTTTTTTTTTTTTTTTTTTTTTTTTTTGTTTTTTTTTTTTTTTTGTTTTTTTTTTTTTTTGTTTTTTTTTTTTTTTGTTTTTTTTTTTTTTTTGTTTTTTTTTTTTTTTGTTTTTTTTTTTTTTTGTTTTTTTTTTTTTTTTTTTTTTTTTTTGTTTTTTTTTTTTTTTTTGTTTTTTTTTTTTTTTGTTTTTTTTTTTTTTTTTGTTTTTTTTTTTTTTTTGTTTTTTTTTTTTTTTGTTTTTTTTTTTTTTTGTTTTTTTTTTTTTTTTTTGTTTTTTTTTTTTTTTGTTTTTTTTTTTTTTTTTTTTGTTTTTTTTTTTTTTTTTTGTTTTTTTTTTTTTTTTTTTGTTTTTTTTTTTTTTTTGTTTTTTTTTTTTTTTTGTTTTTTTTTTTTTTTTTTTTTTTGTTTTTTTTTTTTTTTGTTTTTTTTTTTTTTTTGTTTTTTTTTTTTTTTTGTTTTTTTTTTTTTTTTTTGTTTTTTTTTTTTTTTTTTGTTTTTTTTTTTTTTTTTTTTGTTTTTTTTTTTTTTTTTTTTTTTTTTTTTGTTTTTTTTTTTTTTTGTTTTTTTTTTTTTTTTGTTTTTTTTTTTTTTTTTGTTTTTTTTTTTTTTTTTTTTTTCATTGTATTTGTATACTTTTAAAAGGAAGAAGAGGAGAAGGAGAAGGAGTTCCTTGCTATGATGGGAAAGCGAGCCCCGAACATGATAGTTGGAGAGCTCAAACGCGAGGCCAACAAATATCGAGAGGCCCATCAGAGTGCCCAGGACAATAACACGGCTTTGCACAGAGCCATTACATCACACCTGGCCAACCTTCAGTTACTTACCAAACCTCTGGACCAGGTAGCTTCTGCCATCCCCTCTGTGGCCAGTGTTGAAGGTGAGTTCAGGAATGGAATGTAGTCCACATGCACACAAATACGGCTAAGAATTTGAAAACAAGTCAGAGTGCATGCAGTTGCATCTCTAATAGTATTTATTTTCCTAGTATTAGCATCCCCCCCAAAAAAAAAATCTTAGAAAAAAAAAATGCACAAAAGTATGTGAGTAAAAAGAAACTTTAACTTCTGCTTTCTCAGCTCAAGGTGACCCAGCCACAAAGCAGGAGGTGAAGCGTCTGCTGGGCAAAGTAAAGGAGATGCGCACACAGAGGGCACAGCTAGAGTCTCAGCTGAGGACAGACATTCAGAACGATGATATCACAAAGCAGTTGGTGACCAACCAGGATGACACTGAAGAATTCTTCAAGAATGAATTGAAAAAACATGACAGATTGGTTAGTGTCTTCCCCATATGTTAAGGGTGTGGGTAGATGGTCAGTATATGAAATTCTAATATATTCTAATAGAATAGAAGGTCTCAATCTTTTTTAATTAACCCATTGGTGCTAGGGAGATACACTGTACATTTGGAATATTAAAAAATAGAGTCACAGTGGACATAACATGTATATATCTTCTCCTGGCATCAATTGGATCTAGGTTTTTGTAGTATCAATTAAGGAGGTGGAGGTATAGAAATTGTTTGAGAATAGAATAAAACATATAACAGACAGATGCTAAGATCATTAAGTGAAATTAGTCCTGATTACATTTTTTTTTTTGTATATATTACATAACCACTATTTTACTCTTATCCCTAACAGGTTTTAGGTTTAGAAAAAAATATGTCTGCCCAAGCCAATATCCTGCAAGCTCTCTCAGAGGCCAATGCTGCTTATGCCACCACCCGTCGCCTCACCAATCAGGCTCAGGCACAGAGATCAGAGACTCTGTCATCTCTGTTGGCATCATATAATGCGTACCTCAATATACTTAAGAAAGCTGAAGATGCTCAAGAGTTTTACCATAAGCTGGAGGGACAAGTAAGCAAGCTTGCATCTCGGGTTAAGTCTGTCTGTAGGGTGCAGGACGAGGAACGAGAGGAGATGCTCTCAGCAAATGTTAAGAAGTTCACAGGTGGTGTGCCTCCACCCAAGCCCATAAGAGAAGGGAGCATAGAAGCACCAGGAAGCTCCACAAGTGGCCCCAAACTAAAAGATTTCTTACAGCATATGAAGGGAGGCCCAGGGATGGCGGGTGTGGTTCCAGGAGTTGGTGCTGGAGCGTCGGCACAGGTGCATCCGGGGTATGGATATCATGACCCCAGTGGCTCTTATGCCAGTAGTATGAGGCCTGCCCCACTGGGATCAGAACAGAGTGATGCTATGACATCCTGCAGTCAAGCTGGAGGATATTCAGCAAATTACTCTAGCCAGTCAGCAGCATACCGTCCATCTGCTCCCTCCCCAGTTCCTTCCCCAGCCCCTCAGAGCTCTGGCTCACCGTATAAAGTTCCCACAACAACTGCTGCTTACAGTGCTCCAGGTCACTATTATGGTAGTCAGCAAATGGGTGCTACTCCATACTCTACTGGTGCATCAGCATCAGGTTACCCCTCTAGTATGGGAGCAGGTGCTGCTGCATCATCAACAGCAACAGCTTCAGTTAGTGAATCAGCCACTCCTTATAACACAGCAAGCAGTGCTCATTCCTCTAATATCTATAATATGAGCCAAGCAGGAAGTCAGCCTCAGTATGGATATAGTGGAGGTTATTCTTATTATGGACAACAAAGTGTAGGAGCTGCATCTTCTGTGAATACTTCAACAGCTGTTAGTGGTGGAACTCAACATAGTGGAGCCACAGCATCCCCACGTAGTCAGGCCCATCAATATGGTTATGGTTCCACTTACCCACCAGGTGTTGCACCAGGCACCAGCAGCAGCAGTAGCACAGCTGTGGGAGGAACAAGGACTGCAGGAAGCACAGGTGAGGGAGGCCCATCTGTGGTTCAGAAGGACACAAGAAATATGGGTCAGAATTACTATGGATATTATCAGCAACCATCTGGAACCCCTGCAGTACCAGCTACAGCCGTGACTGCAGTTACAACGGCTTCTGCTGGGAGTACTCAGCAGGGATATCCTACAACTACGGCAGGTGGTAGCAGTTACTATTATCCTCCATATTCCTATCAGTACCCAAGTGCACAGGCCACCAGCCCTGCACCTGCTGCAATGTATAGTCAGGCAGGCTCTTATTATTCATCAAATATGAGTCCAGACTCAAATAACCAATCAGGAGGTGTTGTATATTCAAACCAGACTCCTTATGCAGGCTATGCCAAAACACCATATAGCACCCAACAGCCTGGAGCACAAGGAGATGCATCATACCAGAATGCTGCTGGATCAAACTTTGCTTCAGGTGCTTATGGCAGTTCAGCAAGTGGTAGTACCCAAGCAGGAGCTTATCCACAGTCCAAAACAGCAACATCCCAAGCTGTGCCCATAACTACAACAGGAACTCAGGTGCCACAGTCACAGTGGAATATGTATGCCAGTTACCCGCAGTCAGGCATTACATCTATCAGCAGCAGCCAAGCAGGAAGTCCTGGAACATTTGGCACCCAGAGTTCTCACAGATCACCCTCAGTGTCATCTACATTTACCACATCTCAGACAGGTGCATCAACAGTGCCTTCTCAAGCTTATTCATCACCTGTTGTAGTAACAGCTAATGCAACTAATACTCATTACAGTCAGACCATGATGTATAATCAGAATTATCAGACTTGGGCACAGTATGGCTCACATCAGCCTCAGCAGCCACAGCAACCACAGCAACCACAACAGCCACAGCAGCCACAGCAGCCACAGCAGCCACAGCAACCACAGCAGCCACAGCAGCCACAGCAACCTCACCAACAGGCTTATCAGGCACAGTATCCAATGGGTCAGAAGCCTCAGATGCAGCAAGCCCATCCCCAACAGCCTCAGCATCAACCTGTACCTCAGCAGTCACAGCCTCAGGCACAGCAGCAGCAATATCAACCACAGCAACCAACATCACACCTACCACAAGTGCAACCTCTACAGCCCCAGCAACCATCAGTGCAACCACAAACACAGCCTCTTCAGCCACAACCCCTTCAACCACAGAAGCAGCAGCCACAGCAGGTACCACCTGCTGCTGGAGCCACATCCTCCATTGCCCCATCCGTTTCATCAGTTACTTCAGGCATATCAAACTTGGACCTCTTGTCAGGCATTGAGCTAACTTCACCACCTGGCTCACAGTGGTCGCCCCTAACTCCACAGCCAGCGGTCTCTGGAGTCCAAAAGGCTGCTGATGTTGTGGGTTCTATGGGAGCAGCAGCTTCAGCGGGAGCATCTTCAGCTCCTGATGTGACTTCAGCTGCAGGGGCAGTTGCCGACGCTAGCCAGCCTCCTCCAGCCAGTAGCAGCAACCTTCCAAATGTGGTGTCCAGTGTAAGTCTTCTGGATTGAGTAGGAGTTAATTCATTCTGAATGTTTTCATATCCAATGTTTTAATATTATAGCAATTATACCAACATATCTTTCCCCCAAAATATATTGCACCTTTGAAAAATCACTTCCTTTTATATTTATGTAGAATTTATTAGTTTGATTTGTTAGTCTGATTGAAGATTATTGATATGTGTGTTTGAGCGATAGTAATAACAAATTTTTCGTCCACATCTGTTTTATTTTCAGTTATTTTATCATGCTTTATATTTATGAAACAAAGCACTATATAACTACATTTTTTAGAAAATTTGTTGATTATTATCTCGCACATATCTCTTCTTAAGATTAATGAAGTCACCTCCCACATGGTTGAAATAGTACTGTAGAAAGTATTCAACATATATCACAGAGTGTTATAGATAATGTGACTAAATTGATTTGATAAAAGACCAGGAGAAATACATGAGACAATACAGTAAGCCTTGTCATGAGGATATCTTTTTTTGGTTATTCCTTATAAGTTTCAAGTAATTTTTTGTGTATTTATATATGTCTGAGTTTAGGTGTTTGTAAGGCATGGCCAAAATTAGGAAGGAAGATTAAAATGATTGATAGAGCAGTGGATAAGGATTATCATGAGAATGCTTATCAGGATTTGTGGCCTATGCAAGAATGCTATAAATATGATTAAGTGATAAACAGGTAAGAATGATTAGGTTAGAGGAAGGAAAATATCAATTGTAGCTAACCAAAATCATTTGATTGTGTAGGAGGAGGAGGAGTAGGAGGAGTTTCAAAGGATGATACATACATTTAATTTTATTTATATTACCTAGATTCAAGTTCTAGTTGCGCTTATATTGAGATTCCTTAGAATATTTAGCAGTTACTATTAGAAAGATGTGCATGTATATGAAATTATCTTGCTTCCTGTGCAATTATGATATTACTTTTGTTGTGAATGTTGCAGATACATTTTTGAGATTGTAGTATTTGGGGTCTTTTGAAGTCTTAGCCTGCAAAATAGACGGAGATGGTTTATTAGAGGAATTTATAAATACAGCATCTTATTCATATTATTTTGTTTAGGCATGAGTGTACTGAATATTTAGGTCACATGGATTAGCTTACATGACATTAATCAAAAAGTTAGCTCATTTTATAATGACACGAGCATAGATATATCAATTTTCGACGGCTTAAACTCTTCCACACTTTGTCCCCATCACATAGCAATAGCTATTATTCACATTAGAAGTTAGAAAATGGACATACATATCTTCTCAGTGATCAGAAGCAATTCGTAGGAGATTCATTGTATAAGGAAATATGCTTTTGAACTTCTTAATAAGGGAGAAAGTTTTCTGAAAGGTTAACTGGTTGGGAAAAGTTCATGGTAAATATTTAAAGTTTTAGTTTTTTTAGTTTTAGATTATATTTCTAAAGGTGATAGTAATCTTTTCTTCTGAGTCTTTTTACTTTCTATATTATGTTCAATTAAAAGTGTTTTTGATGAACCTCACATGTGTAGTAATCAAATTTGGTGGACAGAGAGGCAGTCTTGTATATTACGGATTCTATACTGATTATTAACAAGTAGCTTTTGTGTATATGATCTTAAAGAAATTCTATCATTGATCCCAGTGTAAATTCTTGAATTTAATCCGATGCCAGCTGGGCTGGCATGTACGTGCATGTCATGCCCACAGTGAGTTTTTTGTTGTTATTATTATTATTTTTATCATCATCATCATCATCATCATCATCATCATCATCATCATCATCATCATCATCATCATCATCATCATCATCATCATCATCATCATCATCATCATCATCATCATCATCATCATCATCATAATGCTATTATTATTATTATTATTATTATTATTATTATTATTATTATTATTATTATTATTATTATTATTATTATTAATATTATTATTATTAATATTATTATTATTATTATTATTATTATTATTATTATTGTTAATATTATTATTTATGCTATTATTAGTAATATTGTTAATATTATTGATATTAATATTGTTCATATTATTGATATTAATATTTGTAATATTGTTCATATTATTGATATTAATATTTGTAATATTGTTCATATTATTGATATTAATATTTGTAATATTGTTCATATTATTAATATTAATATTTGTAATATTGTTCATATTATTGATATTAATATTTGTAATATTGTTCATATTATTGATTTTAATATTTGTAATATTGTTGATATTGATATTAATATTGTTCATATTATTGATATTGTTGATGTTATTAGTATTATTAATATTTAATTATTAATTAGATTATTTATTTATTAATATTACTAACAATGTTGATATTATTATTATTATTATTATTATTATTATTATTATTATTATTACTATTATTATT